TTTGCTTAAGTACATTTCTATACTCTTTCCTCTAGGCAGCTTGAGAAAATGCATTGCAAGAAGCAACAGAACAGTGGATGGATGGAGACTTTCCATCATCCAGTCTATTCAATCCAAATTAATTTCAACTTGGTCATTCTAAGAGATGAGCTTTTTCATAAAGATTGAATAAAGCAGCTGTGTTGCATATTCTCCTTCTTCTTCAATTTAATTCTTGAGGGCAAGGGTTTATAAGAATCACTTATGTATGGGAGATACTTTATAGACAAACAAGCTGGCAACTTTCACTTGCCCAAGAAATCCTTGCTAACCAAACACCCAATTTTTTATCACCTCTAGGTGAAATAATAGAATTTTAGTACAGTCCCTAATTCAAATGCTCAATAAAAATGTTTCCTGGATAATTGTGGTTAATGGTATATCAATACCAAAAGTTTATTAAATATCTACCATGTGCCATCTACTGACCTAAGTATTTTGCTTTAACTCGGTAATTTTCTACAAAAATAAGAGCAGGTATTATGTTATCCCATCTTTATTATTTCATTATCTCCATCACACACATTCTAAAAATAGGTAAACTGAGACAAAAAACACAATATGCCAAAATGATGGGCAGAATCCAAAAATCAGATTTTGGTTTCAGAGCTCACACACTACCCCTTCAGGAAAAACAKGATAGAAATGGTTACCCTACAGAATAGGTACTGGGCTATTCTCTTATATCCAAAAAATAATGAAATTCCATAGGATATAGTGCTATAGTAACAKAGAGAAAGAGGCTTACTGCATTCATATAAGACAAATATTGTAAAAATTACTGAGTACAATAAGGTTCTTCAACAGTAAACAAGGAAAATGAGGGTATATTTACCATCTGAGATGGAAAAATCACTAAAAACAACAGAAGTAGATGCACTAAATCATTTGAACACTGAAACTATAAAAACTTACTATTCTAACAGAAAGCTGGTAAAGACTGAGGTCCAATCATCATGGTCAAAGTGTAAACTCTAGGATGCAACAGGAGGATATAAGTGATTTCAAACTCTAACAAAGACACGAATGACAGCTTCTCAGTCTGCATCTTAGGTTAAAAAAAAAAAAAAAAGAATGATGAATAGCAAACTAAGGTATGTATGAAATAAAACCACCAGAAACTGTTATGAAAATTGGGTCAAAACAAAAATGATTCACCTCAAAATTTCACTGATACAGTCTAAATTCACCTTTAATTTGCATGTACATTACCAAGAGCTGACCTCAGACCACCATCCAAAGCAGAAAACTGCTGGTCCATCATGAGCTTTCAACAGAAATCATGCTGGATTCTTCCCTCACACCACAGCTCTATACTGCAAATGTTCAGTCAGGAAGTTACAAGCAAATCATCCRGAGCACTCAAGACATAGGAGTGAAAAGAAATAATACACACACACACACACACACATACACACACCTAACCTTTTAAAATAATAGTGGGGACCTGTGGGGCATTTTAAATCGGCAATGGCAAAGACTATAATTTTCTGCTAAAGGGATATTATCACAATTTTTCAACCTAGGTTTGAGCACCCCCCCCCCAAAAAAAAGCTCTTCTACTTAATGGAACATCACACCTAGCACGATGCTATGGCCTTCTATACAGCAGATTGGCAGATTGTAATCTTGACTCCTAGCTTCTTTGGATTTAATTATTATTTCAAAATGAGTTGTAGACATTAAATTAACATGGCAAACTAGAGTGGCTTCTTTCCATTCCCCACCCACAAATAGTCATCTTTTTTCAAAGGAGGAAAAACTTTAGAAATGTCCAATGGCTCCAACAAGTCACTGTAAAATTTTGAAGTATTAACTCGTGATCCCTTGGATCAGTACAACACATAGTGGTGTCAAAAGGAAAAACAAATAGGACTGGATACAAGGAAACAAACCCATGAAAGTCTGAAAAATACCATCTTTGTGTGATGATGAAGAAATCAATCGCTCTCTTCAGCGCTGCTTAAATCTTTTATTTTTTTTTAAACTTGTTTCAATGTTTTAAGAAAAGCAATGACACAATTTAATGGGTTATAATCTGAATCCAACTGTTATTTAAACATTCTTAAAATATGACTACAGTCATATCTCTGACTCTATCATGTGCTTTCTTGTACCTCCAGCAGACTATTGATGGATGTTCCATCTTCTTTTAAAATGCATCTAAAAAATTATGGCTAAATTTCCTCTTTGCCAAGTATCTTGAGAATACATATGCTATCCAACAATGCCAAATAAAGAGAAAATATAATCAAGGCTAAGAAGATGTGGGCAAAACTAATCAAACTGATCTGGCAAAGTGAAAGCCCATCCACTCTTTCTAGCTGCGATGGGAAGGTGAGAGGGCACGGATTCTTCTTCAAGTGACATAACATATTGCGGTTGAAAGCTAATGCCACATAAATATATAGCATGGAAAATTTTGACCTAGTATTTTGAATTAATCAGAAATATTGTGAAGTACTTATTTTTACAATAAACCCATAGGTTATTTCTGTATTTTAATGTTTCCCTTTATGGCCCTTACCAAAACTTCCTTTGAATCAGAATGATTCGAGTAGTTTTACATCTCCTTGGCCTACCAGATTCCGTACCTCTGGAATGCAAAGATAAACCCTGTTCAGATTCTATCAACTCAGCCTGCAAAATATTGTAGTATAGATAAATGCTTGTTGGATTAAACTGAACCAGAGCAGTTGAGGAGTTTTCAGCCTTAAAAGACTATATATTATTGGATGAACTTTCTGTATCACACAGAAGTAATTTGGAGTCTTGCCACTGATAGACCAATATAGTCCAGTCCTTGTTAACATGGAGAAGAAGAAAACAGAACACAACTTTCTACTTCAAATCAAACATTAAGTTACAGATGCCTTACAAGTACTCGGCTCTGTCCTGTATTCAGAGAGGCTTTTGGAAAAATTTAACACACCCCCTAACTTTTTATTTTTTTTAAGAGACAGTAGTAAAGGATAAGAGGGAAAAAGATTCTGCCCACAACACTGCAAATTCAGAACCTTTGGATTCCATTATGCAAATATCTGAATTTAACGAAAAATTGCTCAACAAGTATTTTCATGATTTGTTTTGCAAGAAAAGCACACAGGAATTGTAATGAAGGAGAGAAGGAGAGAAAGGAGGACCAGGAAGAGGAGAGAAGTGGCTTTTAAAAATGCAGTTTTGGGGCTGGGGTTGTAGCTCAGTGGTAGAGCACTTGCCTCTCACGCATGAGGCCTTGGGTTCAATCCTCAGCACCATATAAAAATAAACAAATAAAAATAAAGATATTGTGTCCATCTACTAAAAACAAAAATGCAGTTTCAACAGTACTTATTCCTAAACTCTTGATATCTATCAGCCAATTTCCACCAGAGAATTAAGCAAAAGCATTGCTACTCAGTAGAAGAATATTATTACTTCACGGAAGGATAGCTTCATGGATATACAATAATTATATCTAATAACTTCAAGAAAATCTCTAGCTGTGATCTGACATTAAAGTTGGTTCCCAGGGTCTTAATATGCTTTTGCCAGAATTTAACAATGGTGAAACAACTAACTCTTGCACTTTAGCCAAAACAAAATAAATAAATAAAGCTATATGCCCAATTTCTCTCTAATAAACTAAATTTATACTCCAACTTTAGAATAAGTTTTGACATAAATGGCTTTAAAATAACAAGAGCGTCTAACATTTGGGTCTTTTCCCAGTTAATTATTTCCTGGCATTGTACTTGAAATTCCTTGGCTTCACCTTAAACCCACACTCCCAAGTGCTAATTAGGAGACTATATACATTATTAACCAAAAGAATGCTATACTTAAAACATGCATGTTCCATATGTATCTGATTAATAACGTAATTTCTTTCACTCCTCAAAGATCTCTTYAGAAAAATAGGACCCCTATTTAAATGAAGCCATTGGTTGCTATTGAGGGAATTCTTGTCAAAATGCAATTAATACAAAGGGGCCTAGATGACATAGGATCCTTGTCTTGGAAAAGCCTCAACATGAATCAAATTTAATCTCAATGGGACAGTGAGTGGAGGGAAAAGTTAATGACTGCAGATGTTACACATTTTCCCTGTACCAGGGGATTCCCAACAGGAATGGCTAAGCCGCCTATGGGATCAGCCACTATCAAGGAACCCTACTCATCAGGGAAGACAAGCTGGAGACATGCCTTGTCCCAGAACTCTCTCCCCCAAAGCCACAGGACAGTGTGGAAAAGAAACACATGTAAACAAGGTAGACCTAATGATTGCCTAATTGTGAAGGAGATATGATCTTCTCATTAACTGGCAAGCTAATTAACCACAATCCCAGTTTCATAAAATTGAGTCCAGAAATCCAAACTTTGGAGTCTAAACTCCACAGAATTCGCCTCACACTTCTAGACCCTCCATCCAGCCACTGAGTTGTCAGTTCTGCTTGATTTGTTTGAATATTGTACTCGACGACAGCTGTCGGAAACAGTATATTAGAACAGCTGCTGTGACAGCTACAAGGGGCTTGGAAGTTTAATTGGGCTCAATGTGACATTGTGCATTTTTCTAAACATAGAAATATCCATACAAGTAAAGAAATTTCTAATGGGTCTGAACAACGTTTACTTATTGGCACCGCCAACTGGCTAGACTCCCTTTGAGTTTTATCATTGGCTCATAATATCTTTACCACCAGGCTGGTAAGGGATATAAAAATAATAACAATAAAAATAAACAGTAGGAGCAGTTAGTTGCACACAAAAAAGGGGGGGCATTAAAGGGGAGAGGAAATGGTAAGGAAGTCACATCAATAATGCTTTTCAAAGGCTGGCTGGTTGCCAAGGAGGATCCCACAGTGTGTCAGGGTTTACTTCCAAAGGAAATGTATTCAGAGGCCCTGAGCCTGGTGCCAACTGCAAACAAAACCAGTCATTATGATCACAGCCCCCTAGAGAAGGGGAGAATGGCTTACTCTCAGCATCCGCGCGAAGGAAGAAGGCGAGGAGCAGCAACAGTGGCCTGGCTAYGTGCACCATCCTGCAACTTGGCAGCAGCGTGTGCTGGCAGCTTGGATTCACTGCCTCTGAAGCTGCAGCAAGTCTGTCCGGTCTGAGATTTCAGCTGGAACCCTTTCAGAGCCTGTAAAGGGAAAGGAAGAGAAAAGGGGGGGAAGAAAACACAAAGACACTTAGATTTCTCATTCTTTTCCCCTCTGCCCCATTTCAACCCCCCAAAAAGACACAATCCACTGRAAGCACCCAATATAAATTGTAACTGCCATGTCCTGGTATTAGTCAGTTACTTGGTCTATTTAATGTGGGATCCCTAGCAATCCCATTTCCAGGCCATCCTGGAACCAACCCCCTTGAATTTCACTCTCTGCTCATGCCACCTTTGGGGCTGCACTCTCTCAGGAGGAGGTGTCACCTCATATGAAACATGATGTGAACACATCCATGAAAGAAAGCACACCATAGCTACAAGAATGGTTTCAATGAAGTTCCTCCGTGCAGGATAAAAGTTTAGAAATGACAGAATAATGGAAGCTGCTTTCTTGGCACCAGGTGAAATGACAGGGCTAATTCCACTTCTCCATCTAAATAGCAGTCATTGGGATTTTTTTACACTTGCACATTTGGCTTCTTCCTTGAAGACACATCAACATTCAAGTCTAATTTGACTTCAACAAGTCAAAACAATAGTTAGCAGAGCCTCTTTGATTTAACAGGCTTTATATGTGCCTCCTGGGCAAAGGTTTTATTTTCCCAACCTTCTCTATAAAACAGATAAGCCTCAAACTCTTTCTAGAGAGCCTACTATGTGCATGCCACCAGGAAAAGGAAGTGGCACTCAGCACAAGCTAACTCATGATCCAAGGATGAGTCAGATTTCATCCTTGTTGAGATTCCGGGTTAGTAGGGAATATAAGACTATTAGCATGAATATAGTAGCATAGAATATAAGACTAACAGCATGACTAGTATGATTCAATAAGTGATTAGTGACAGAAAAAAAAATCAAGTACTGCCATAAAAGATAAGATTTGGTAATAGCATCATGAAAAAAGCAGTGTCTTAAACTGGGCCTTGGAGTATAAGCAGGATTTTAATAAGGTGAGGGAAGGGCATCCCTGGATGCTATGCAAAGGCAGGGCTATAGGAAAGGAACTTTGGACAAGCTGCATGGCCTCACTGGTTGGGGAGGGCTTCCCAAACACCAGCATGCATTGGATGACTTTGGTGACTTGTTAAAACAAAGAGCTGGGCACCACCCCTGAGTTAGTGATTCAGTAGGTTTGTGGTAGGGTCCCAGAATTTGCATTTCTAACAAGTTTCTTGGTGATGTTGATGCTACTGGTCTTGGGACCACACTTTGAGAACCACTGAGTTGGAATGAGGCATCGATTAGGAAAACAATAAGGCAGCAAAAGAAAATGGTTCCAGCTTAAAAATAGGTCACAGAAAGCCCAGGATGGGAATCTAAGTCCAATGGTGTTTACTCGACAAACCAGAAAAAGGGCTGTTTAATGTTTTGTAGCACAGAAACAATATGGAACTAGAATTTGAGACAATTAAGTGACAGCCGAATCAGGAACRATTTAGAGAATGCTATTAGGCCACAGCCAAGGTCCCAGGTGACTGTAATGGTGATCTTGGTAGGAATGAAAGAGGCAGTGATAAAAGCAATGATTTGAAGTATGACACTTCAGGTGAAAAACAATTGCTCTCCTAGAGCCTTCTAAAAATTTCAGCAGAGTATACCAACTAGACTCTTCATAAAAAAAAATTTTAAAAGCAAATAGGGTATATTATATGTTACTGCATCCTTTATCATTGTGATAAGAACTTGAGAACAACTTATCAGAACTCATTTACAAAATGAAAAGGCATACCTTTAATTTTTGTATTAGAATGTTTGAGACACACATAAAATTCTTGACAGGATATACTAGAGATATCCAGAAATAACTTAATCCACTAAAATAACTTGTACTTTAAAAAGAATTTTAACACAGATACTATATAGCGTGTCTGACACCGAGCTAGCAAGTAGCGCATGAGAACAATTTTTTCTTAACAAAGATATTATCTTTTTCATTACTATGCATGAGCGGTTTGAACACAGGAAAGATAAAACTCAAAGGAAAGGGGCAATCATTCTAATTACCATTCCACTAGATATCCTCCATTTTTATTTCTTTTTAACAGATCTGTGGCTGGCATGAAGAAGGAAGTTGAACATTGAAACACATCTTCTTGAATCCAAAAGCTAGCCAGCTGTTTCAAATCCTCTATTGTTATCAATCTCATCTGGAAAATAACTCAAGCAGTTCACAGCCACCAAATGTGAACAATCTCAAAACTTCACAGGAGAGGGCTAGAGGAATCAGCTCTGCTCCCCACCCCTTTTGCTGCTCCCTTCCTCATGCCAGCGTTTCCAATGACAGCAAAGTACAGGAGACATCAGTCCTGTCGGACTCAATTTGTGTCTGTGCAAGCGTATCAGAGCCAACTGCTCCATAATGAGTCCCTGCAATCAGAGATGGAGACCTAAGAAACGCTCGMTCAGGGAAGGAAGGGGCGGCTTGGCTTTTCCTCCTACTCGGCTGAAATGTGTAAGACCCAGTTCTTCCAAATGAGCCTGTGAATGTAACCTTGGGACTTGGAACAGTGATAGGATCTAGCTCTCTAAAAATGAACGCAGACACCAACATACATATTTATACTTAAATGGGCTATGCCCTTGGCCAAGATATGACCAAAAAAAGTGATCCCAGGTGGGAAGATAAAACCCATTCTAAATGTTCATTCCAGCCAATCTCCATTCCTTATCTTGCTTATTACACAAACATCGCCAAAAAGGAAATGCTGGCTGCGTATCGGGAAGGTGGAATTCACATTTCCGAACACAAATGGAAAATCAGCTCTAAGGAAATATTTCAAGCAAAAATAAGGAGGATGAATGATATTACAAGTAGTTTCCATTTGCCTATGGTGAGGGTTGCGAACCACGCGAAGAAAAGAGAGGGAAAACAGGGGCTGGGGTACTAAAAGGACCATGCTTCAGCTTACATCACGAATTATTCTGCATTTGCCCCAACAGCCTTCAGCAGAGGCCAACTGATTTTTATATGCTTTGCCCTTTGCATCATTCAAATAAAACTAAAGTGTCTCTGAGTTTAAAATAAAAATGTTAAAACTGAAAACTCATTATTTCTCATAGCACAAAGATGTTATGAAAATAATTCTATTGACTGCCAGTCATCTGAATATTTACTTTTGTATTTATGTCCCTGTGTGGTTAGAGAAGCTCACAGTTCAGAGAGCCATACAGGGCATGTAATATAATTAGAAATGGAACAAATAAATAGTAGACGGGTCTAAAGGCCTTAACAAATCTGTTTCAGGTGATCACTTAAGCTATCCAACTCTTTTTCTTTATTTTAACAGTGTAACCCTTTTCTATAAAAAGTATTTTCATATTCAAACACACACACACACACACACACACACACACACACACATATATATATATATATATATATATATTGAACACTTGATTATATTTATTTCAGTTTTCTTTGATACTGATATATATTTCTGTAGATTGTGTTAACATAAGGCAGGGGGTGAGGCAAATGGGGCTTTTTTTCCCTCTTAAAAATATCCTGACTTCCTTAAAGAAATGGCTGATTTTAGGTTTTTGTGTAAGAAATGTAGAAAATGAGACTGGAACATCTTGCCATATTGGGAAGCTTTCAGGAACTACTAGGCTATATCCAAAAAAAGCATCCAAGTTGATGAAGTGCCCATCAGCTAAATGTAAGGAAATATGACTGGCAAAAACGATAATAACCGCAATGAACTGAAACACACCATTTCATAATCATGACTTAAAATTTTTGAAAATAATTTTTTATTACATTGGTCACTCTAGGAAGAGGTCAGAGAACTGTTGAGGTTTGGATAAGTGTCCCTCAAAGGCTCATGTGCTAATTTCTTGGTCCCCCMCCTCTGGCAGTACTGGGAGCTGGTRGACTCTTTAAAAGGGTAGSCAACTAGAAAGTCTTTCTTCTTTGGATATACCACTGAGGGGGGATATTGGGACTTAGTCCCTCTTTCAACTCTCCTTTGTGTCTTGATCATGGGGTGAACAGGCCACCTGTGCCACAAACACCTGCCATAAGGTACTGAGCAACCACCAGCCCCCAAGCAATGCAATCAATTGGCCATGGAGCGAAACCTCCAAAACTGTGAGCCAAATTAAGCCTTTGCTTTTTTAAAAATATTTATATATCTCGGTCCTTGTTACAGTAACGGAAAGCTGGCTAACACAAGAACCAAGTCTTTATTTTGAAAACAGGGCAGGAAAGAAAAAAAATTAAGCATTACAAAGAAAAATTCCTCCCAAGGACTTGTAAGACATTCACTGCTGCTCTCAGTAGGTATCATTGTTTATCTCTAAACACCCGGCTTCTTTCTCTCTTTTAGCAAACTCACTCTATTAAGGCTAGACATCTTACAAACAATAATACCCTAACCATACTTATCCTGGGCCTATAATCCCTATAGATATCTACTAAGTTGAGAGAATAGTAAAAAAAAAAAAAAAAAAAAAAGTCCCTACATTCTGTGACTTATATTTATCAACCTCCCAAACCAACCTCTATAAATCAACTAGAACTGGTTTCCAATTATTTAAGACAAGGAGCCATTTGTACAAGAGATGTGCTACCAGGATACGCCAATTTGTAAGAGAGAGAAGCATGACTGCTTGGCGGAAGGAAGGAGGGTCCTGGGACCTATAAAGAGCAAACCTGGCCAGGGTTTCTGAAGGCCACCTAGGAATTCCTTCTGTCCCCAGCATAGATTTACAATATCAGGACACCAAAATAAAGACAAAAATAAATAAACTGAGAWCATTTGTTTGCACTGATTCTGTCAAGAGAAGATAGCCTCCTATCTTAGTATGGGACAGTAATGTTCCAGCCCTGTCCAGTGTCAGTTTCTGCAGGGTAGAAATGTTCTCCACTCKGACTAATAATTGACCACTTTAAATTCAGCTAGTGCAACTAACA